AATTATTGTATTTTCAATAATTGTATATTTTTGCTATAAATTTTCAATAATTATTGGAAATTAAACTATTGTTATTTGTTAGAGATTAGACTATTAATTTAGCTGAAATTAGGAGTGTTCACAGGTCAGTTAAGTTCAGTTGTAGTCTGTTTGGCTAACCAAATCGACTTGGTTAGGTTAGGGAGTTGGTCACCTAAAACTAACTAACCATTTGTAAAAAGTAGCACACTTAGGTTGTATCGGTTTGGGTCAATTTTTGATTTGGTTAGTCGGTTCAAAAGATTTAAACTTGAAAAATTAAATTTATGATGCAAAATATCTTAGACTAAGAAATATGGGAATTTTCCCACTATCCTATATTAAAAAATTATATTTAAAATAAAAATATTAATGTATAAATATATTTGTGTGTGTGTATATGGTCTACGCATTCGATTTTGGTCGGTTTATAAATAGCCAAAGTGAAACTGATCCAATCTGCTTGGGTTAGAATATTATTGAACCAAAGCCAACAAAAAATACTACAAAACCAACTAACTCGGATCGAGTTGATCAGGTTGGTCGATTTCATCGGTTTGATGAACAACCCTAGTTGAAATTAATTATTGTTATTTTTTGTATTGTAAAAAAATTATTAAAAGTAGTATATAAAATATAAATAATTATTAATTATTTAAAAAGTTTAAAATATAAAACATTTGCATGCTATTATGTGCTTCTATTGTTTAGCTTTTGCTTAACAAATCCCGTGCATCACATAGGTCCCCGCTAGTACACAAATAAAATACAGCAAAAGGGTGTTATAGACAAAATAAACCAATATCAAATACAATAAATAAGTGTTAAAGACAAACATGAACAATAATATTTACATATTATTTAAACATTTAAAAACTACATATTTTAATTAACGAAATACTTAACATAACTAGATTTTAAATAGTTAAAATAACAAAATTGTGTAATAAATTTAAAAAATTTCTTTAAAATAAGAAAAATTAATAATGAAATTATGTAATAATAGTATAAATTATAATTTTATAGATTATTGAATTCAATAAATAATTGATGTTTTAAAGTTTAAATAATGATATTATTTAACTAACTAAATAAAATTGTAAATAACTAATTTAACTTATATCAATTAATAATTCAAGAAAACAACTTTCAAAAAAATTAATATTTATTAATAATAATTTATACTCTTAATCTATATTTATTACATAATTATATATACTAAAGTTAATATGTATTATAATTTAGTAATTATTTATTGTTTTTTTGTGATAAGTATATTTCAATAATTATTGGAGATTAAATTACTATTGTTAAAAATTTTAAATTTAATTTATTGCACTTATTATATTTATTGTATTTATGTTATAATTTGTTGATTAATATTTATTTATAGATTAAAATATTATTTGAAATTATACTATTTATTGACTGATTTTATATATTTTTTAATATTTATTTTATTTTTGTAATTATTATATTTTTATTATACTATTTATTGTAATTATTGTATTTTTATTATACTATTTGTTGACTATTAATTTAGCTGAAATTAGGAGTGTTAATAGGTTAGTTCGGTTCGGTTGTAGGTTGTTTGGCCAACCAAATTGACTTGTTTAGGTTGGGGAGTTGGTTACCTGAAACTGATTGACCATTTATGAAACTAGCCCACTTAGGTTGAATTGGTTTGGGTTAATTTTTTGTTTGGTTAGTCAGTTCAAAAGATTTAAACATAAAAAATTAAATTTATGATATAAAATATTTTAGAGTAAGAAATATGAGAATTTTCCCACTATCCCATATTAAATAATCATCTTTAATATATATATATATATATATATATATATATATATATATGTCTATGTGTGTGTGTGTGTGTTTGTGGTCAGGTCATTTGATTTTGGTCGGTTTATAAATGGCCAAAGCAAAAGTGATCCAACTTGTTTGAGTTGGAATATTATTGAACCAAAGCCAATCAAAAATACTAAAAATTCGACCAACTCGGATCGAGTTGATTGGGTTAGTCGGCTTCATTAGTTTGATGAACAGCCCTAGTTGAAATTAATTATTCTTATATTTTGTATTATAAAAAAATATTAAAACTAGTATATAAAATATAAATAATTATTAATTATTTAAAAAGTTTGAAATATAAAACATTTGTATACTCTTATGTGTTTCTATTGTTTAGCTTTCGGTTAACAAATCCCGTGTTATAGACAAAGCTAACAAATATCAAACACAATAAATAAGTGCTAAAGATAGACATGAACAATAAAATACTATGATCAAACACAGTAAAAATGGTGTTAAAGACAAACCTGAACATTATTATACCAAGATAAAACACCCACTTTAGACAATATTGTACTAATAGAGAACTTTAACCAGTTCAAAGAACATTTGAACACAATATTCCATGCAAACAAAAGATAAAAATGGACATCAACAATGTTGGCGAAAGGAACAATGAAAAGTCCTATGGTTGGTTAAAAAATGAAACCCTAGACTCAGACAAAAGGAATTTCTTACGTCTTCTTGTGCTATTATGCAATAGGTTACCTTTTTCTCTGATGATGGCAAAAAATAATCCCTTTTTCCCCAGCGACGACAAAAAATAAGTCTTCTTCTCAGACAACGGCAAGCAACGGTGACACAGACCTTCTCTGGTGCCAAAGTTTATATGCGGCTGATATTACAATTCCTTCTATATCCAACAATTTTCCAGTGTGATATTGGCAAGAACTCTAACGGAGATCAGTTCTCGAATGGAGTTGGGCTGAGGTTCAGACTAAAATTTCAAAATATTTGGGTAATAGTAAATAGGGGCGAGATGCCCATTTTGGTCATTTAAAAAAGGTAAATTACAAAGACCCCCTATACTATGGGATCTGTGACAAAGACCCCCTATACTATGATCGTGAGACAAAGACCCCCTTCCGTTGAAATCCGCCGTTGCAATATTTTTTTAATTCCCATACTACCCTTGTAGACAATTAGGAGAAAAACACTATTCATCTTCCCCGGCCTCACCATACGCGAACAACCGCAACGGTAATCCCCTCGGATTCCTTCAAATTTCTCTCTTCTCCCTCTCTCCTCCCTTCCCCTTCTTTCCTTCCCTTTCTTCTTCCCGCTGTTGATGAAATTGTTGGTGTCTGGCTATTGATGAAATTATTTCCCCTTTCAAAGCAGTTGATCAAACTGCTGGCTGTCCGGCTTGTTGGTGTTATGGCCCGACGCAACTGATAAAGAAGGGAGAGAAGAGTGCGAGGGAGACAAGGCTGTTGGAGAAGAGGATTCTACAGTGGGACTTTGGGCTTGTGGGTTATCTGTCGGAGAAGAGGATCGACAAGGCCCGCACCACGACGCTATGAAATAGATCACCATCTTCGGTTGGGAGGAAAAAGAAAACATGGGATGATCCCTAATTGTCAGGCTTAATTCATATACATAAATAGCTAGGAGAGAACCGTGTTTTACTGTTTTTTTTGTTTAGGTAATTTAATTACCAGCTTAGTGGAATTTTTGTAGGAGTCGAAGTGAGCTTTCCATCGGGTTGTGGAATGGAATGTGATGATACGAGACGCCTTCAATGGACCATTGCCGACAGAGAACACATCTTGCACGTCAGATTGAGATGAACCTAGTGTTTCTGTCGTCGCTGTAGCTGCCGTTGGTGGCATTGTTGCCTTTCTCAATCCCAAACTTTGTTGTCCAGGGAACCTCATCTTTCTCCCTTGTACCTCCTCGAAACCCTGATATTTTGACAATTTGGATAGAACAAATTGAATAGAGAGAAGCGGGAAGGGGAAGGGGAAGGGGAAGAA